AGGACAGTCCCACAACATTCCTTTTCCTGTCTCTTGCCTTCATTCACCACCTCCTTCTTTTTGAACAATCATCTACCCAAGAGACAACACTGCAGCAACTGGCATGTCATGACAAGCAGCCCATATTCAGAAGACCAGAATGACAGCCACTCCAAACATGAACCTACTATTACAGATTACCATCCTAGTGCAGTTGCTTAGTTCACAGGTATCAGTATATATAGTTAGTGAGGGTGAGAATCTTTCCAATTAATTGCTAGTTTCAAAAATCTTCTAGAGATTCTTAGAATCTTTGCCTTGCCCATATTCTAAATGTCACTGTATGGTTTGACATTGTCGTGTTTCTTAGCTCTTCTCCTTTCCCTCTCTTGATTAGTTAGTCCTTGAGATCCTACTTTCTTTTATTTGTATTATACCTTCCTATTTGTATTTCTTCTTTGGAGTTCTTATCCTAGGGAAACTATACGATATTTACACATGTGTCTATTTTATTTCACTTATGAGTATATCTTCAAGTGGCATCCACTTCAGTACAAAGCTTTCGAATTTATCATTCTTTATAGCTGAATAATACTCCATTGTGTAAAAATACCACATTTTTTTTTTCAACCATTCCTCAGGTGATGGGCATCTTGGTTGTTTCCAAGATTTGGCTATCACAAATTGTGCTGCTATAAATATAGGCACACATATATTCTTATGATATGATATTTTCAGATCCTCTGGGAAATTCCCAGTAAAGGAATAGCTGGTTTAAATGGGATTTCCAGTCCAAATTTTCTAAGGAGTCTCCACACTGATTTCCATAATGGTTGCACCAGTCTCCATTCCCATAAGCAGTGGAGAAGTGTTTCTTTTTCCCTACAGCCTCTTCTACATTAGTTGTTGTTTGATTTGTTTATGATAGCAATTCTTTCTGGGGTGAGATGATATCTCAATGTTGTTTTAATTTGTACTTTATGGATGATTAGTGATGTGGAGCATTATTTCATGTATTTATTTGCCTCTTTGATTTCGTCCTCTGAGAAGTGTGTGTTCATCCCAGATGCCCATTTCTGGATTGGGTCTTTAAATATTGGGGCCCTAGTGTTTTTAGTTCTTTATCAATTTTAGAGTGCAGACCTTTGTCTGAGTACTTATTTGTCATGATTTTTTCCACATTTGTGGGTTTTCTTTTCACTTTGTTGGTAATTTCTTTTGATGTGAAAAAATTTCTCAGTAAGAGCAGGTCCCGGTTGTTAATTCTTTCAACTGTTTCCATTTCTATTTGATTTTTGTTCATTAACTCTTTGCCTACCCTTATGTCTTCAAGAGTTCCTCCTACTTTCTCTTTCTGGAGATTTAGAGTCTCTGCTTAAAGTTTAGATCTTTAATCTATTTTAACTTTAGCTTATTGTATGGTGATAGACCTGGGTCAAGTTTTAGTTTTCGGTATGGAGAGAGTCAGTTTTTCCAGCACCATTTGTTAAAGAGGCTATCTGTCTTCCAGTGAGTATGTTTGGCCCCTTTGTCAAAGAGAAGGTGGCTGAGTGTTTACATAGGGCCTTCAGAATCTTCTAATCTTTTCCATTGATCCTCAGGTCTATTTTGTTTCCAGTACCATGCTGATTTTTCTCAGTAGCCTTTTAGCATAATTTCAAGTCAGGAATTGTAATTCCTCCTGCCTTGTCTTTATGCCCCACGATCGCCTTTGCTATTCTAGGTTCTTTCTGATTTCAAATAAATTTAAGGAATGATTTCTCTGGCTCTTGAGATATGTCGATGGTAGTCTGATAGGGATTGCATTAAATCTGTACAGCAATTTTGGGAGTATGGCCATCTTCACAATGTTGGTTCTTCCTATCCAGGATATTTTTCCATTTTCTAAAATCCTCTACGTTCTCTTTTTTTATGAGTAGTGTAATTTTTCTTGAAAAGATCTTTGTCTTGTTTACTTAGATTAATTCCAATTTATTTCATTTTCCTCGGTGCTTTTGTAAAAGGTATAGTTTCTATGATTTCTCTCTCAGTGTGTTTCTTATCTCTGTAGAGGAATGCTATTGACTTTTGGTATTGACTTTATAACCTGTTATCTGCTGTATTTCTGTATTAATTGTAGTAGCTTGTTGGTGGAGTTTTTTTGGGTCTTCCAAGTAAAGTATCATGGCATCTGCAAAAAATGATAATTTAGCTTCTTCTTTACCTATTGTTATTCCTTTTATTTCTTTCTCTTGTCTAATAGGTCTGGCAAATGATTCCAGAACTATATTGAATAGGAGGGGTGATGGAGGACATTCTTGCATTGTACCAGATCTAAGACTAGAAGATTTCAGTTTTTCAGCATTTAGAATTATGTTAGCCCTTGAGTTTTCATAAATGGTTTTTGCCAGATTAAAGTAGAGGCCTTCTATTCCAATTTTCTATAGCACTTTGAACATGAGTGAATGTTGGACTTTGTTAAAAGCCTTTTGTGCATTAATTGAGATGATCATGTGGTTTTTAATTTTTGCTCTATTGATATAATGTATTACATTTATAGATTTTTGAATATTGAACCATCCTTGCTTCCCTGAGATAAATCCTACCTGGTCATGGTGTATGATCTTCTTGATGATTTGCTATATTATATTTGTTAGGATTTTATTGACGATTTTGTCATCTATGTTCATGAGGGAGTTTGGCCTGTAGTTCTCTTTCTTGTTATATCTTTCTCTGGCTTTGGTGTCAGTGTAATCCTTGCCTCTAGGAATGATTTTGGGAGAATGGCTTCCTTTTCAATTTCATTGAAGAGTTTTAGGAGAATAGAGACTACATCTTCTGGGGTCGGGGAGATGGCTCAGTAGGATAAGCGCTTGACCGGCAAATGCAAGGATCTGAGTTCAATCCCTGCTTCTGTAAATTTCTTGCAGAATTCAGCTGTGAATTCATCAGGACCTGGACTTTTCTTTGTCATTAGGTTTTTAATTACATCTTGTATTTCATTGGCTGTTATTGGGCTATTGAGAGTGCTTATATCTTGTGGATTCAGTTGTGGTAATTTGTACCTTTCTAGGAATCTGTCCATTTCTTCTGTGTCTTCTACTCGGTGAGAGTAAAGATTCTCAAAGTAGCTATTGATAATCTTCTGGATTTCCACTGAGTCTGTGGTAATTACACCCTTTTCATTCCTTATTGCTTGTATTTGAAATTTTTCTTTCCTTTTTTGATGAGGTTGTTTAGGGGCTTAAGATTTTATTTGATCTTTCAAAGAACCAGTATTTTCTTTCTTAATTCTTTGAATTGTTTTCTTTGTCTCAATTGAATTAATTTCTGCTCTCATCTTGATGATTTCTTCCTGTCTTTGGTTTACTCTTCCTTTTCTAGATGTTGAAGGTGCAGCATTAGGGTACTTATTTTTTGTTTCCGTTCTGTTTTCCTAATGTGTGAGTTCACAGCTATGAATTTCCCTCTGAGAACTGCTCTCATCGTATTCCATAAATTACGATAAGTTGTGCTTGAATTTTCATTGAATTGTAGATATTGTTGAATTTCTTGTTTAATTTCATCTGTGACCCATTGATTGCTGAGTAGGGTGTCATTTAATATCCATGCATTTAGAGTTTTATTCTCATTTCTTTTATCATTTATTTCCAGTTTCATTGCACTGTCGTTAGATTATGAGCATGGGATAATTTCTGTTTTCTTACATATACTTAAGCATGACCTATGGACCAGTATGTGGTCTATCTTAGAAAATGACCCCTGTGCAGCTGAGAAAAATGTATATTTAGCTGTATTTGGGTTGAACACTCTGTATATGTCCACCACATCCATTTGTTTCAAGCTCTGGTTCAGTTCTGTTATTTCTTTGCTTAGTTTTTGCCTGGTTGACCTATCTTTCTGAGATAAAGGGTGTCAAGTTCTCCTATTAAGATTGTGGTATTGAATATTAGATTTTTCATGTCCATTAAGATTTGCTTTATATAGTTGGGTGCTCCCATGTTTGGTACATACATATTTATAAGTGTTACCTCTTCCTCTTGAATTTTTCCCCTAAAGAGTGTATAGTGCTCTTCTTTATTTAGCTTGATCATTGTTGATTTGAAGTTGACACTGTCTGAGAATAAGATTGCTACCCCTGCTTTTGTCTGAAATGCTGGGGCATGTAATACTGTGTTCCATCCTTTGACTTTCATTGTATGAATGTCTTTATGCATTAAATGTGTTTCTTGTATACAGCATATTGTTGGATTTTGTTTCCTAATCCACTGTGCCAGTCTATTTCTCTTAATTA